TGAGAAATAATTCTGAGGACAGTGCTTTATTTTACTGCGCTTGACCAATGTATGAAGTTGCATTTAAATTTCAACCATTAATTTTCAAGTTATGTACTGGACAAGAAAAAATAACGCAGGGCAACTCTGTCATTAGTCAAGATGCAGTTATGCTTCTTATGCACTGCACTTTCTCTTATTGTGTCTGACCATTGTATGAAGTTGTTTTGAATTCCAACAAATACTTTTCAAGTTATGCTCTGGACAAGAAAAAAACATCTGAAAAGTAATAAAGGGCAATAACTCCTTATTCCTTTAGACGCGAAGCGGGCCGGGTCTTTGGCTTGCCCGGTTATAATCTTCACATGTACATTTAAAAGAAAATCAAATTAACAATTTAAAAAGTCATAGATTTCTATACATATCAGTGAAATTTTCAGTGGCATAATTATCTAGTGCCATTTTCCATGAAACTTAATGATAATAGGCGGGGTATTCCGATAACGGAACTATCGCAACTTTTCGGCTTTATGGTAATCTTCGAGGGGTTCCGAGCGAAAACGGAAGCAGTAGATGAAATTATTATTATAAGTGTTCATGAAAATAAAAAGTGGTTTATTTTTAAAATTATTTAAAAAGCATTTTAAGCAAACAAACTAATATGAAAAAGGCAAAGCCTGAAAGCGAGCTCGATTTTCTTTTACCGTAAGATAGTTTAAATTAATCGTTTATTTTTATTTTTCATTTTCCGTTTTAAAATTGTCATTCGGTATTTTATACACTGCTTCCGTTTATTCTGGTTCTCCCTTTCTATTATGGTTCCTTTATGAGTGCACAGGACACCAGTCTACGCTTCCGTTTTCAATCAAAGTACATCGGCTTTTATCGTTGTAATTCGAAAAGTTGCGATGTGTCCAATTCGGTACTTCGGACGCAAGTTTTCAAAACCATCACTTAGCAGGTTCTCGCGTTACCGTAAAGCTCTTTTGCGAGCAGGCCCTTCGGACCAGCTCGTCGAGCTCGCTATCAAAATAATGTGACTAGTGATTTTTCAAATTTGAATTTTTCTAAAACTAAATCTAGGCTTTTTAAACGCATCAACATCAGTATTATTTTATCTTTTCATGTGTTGTACCATGGAATGTGTCTGAAATCATGGTTGCATTAAGTTACATGTACATCCCGTCTTCGAACATGACACGCCGGCAGAGCATATTATACATGATGCATTGTTTAGTTCTTTACCCTCGCGAATCCGAAGCGTTCCGACATCTTTTATTTAAGTTTTATTGCATGATTTTTATATTTATTTTTTTTCTATTGATGTTTGAAGCCATTATAATTTGCTTTGAACGCTCACAAATTGGATGACCGAGTTAAATTAACCGCTTACTAAAACTCAAGGACTTATTTTGAGTCTAATATTCATGAATGTCTTTTCTTTAATTATGTTTTGTTATAATATAATGTCAATTCATTCATTTATACCAAGGTAATAAGTATAGCAAGTTACAAGAAAAACACGAAAAATGCAATAATTGGACCTTCAATGTTAATGTAATTTATGAGTGTGGGTTAAAGTCGTCTGTAAAATTAACTGAAAGGTCTATCATAAAAGATTATTTAGATTAAGTTTGAAGACAATCTATTCAGAAACTACACAGTTATAGACACTTATAGCAACAATCAGCAAAAAAAAAAACAAGTAAAATTTAGACATGTGACCTTAAAGGTATAGTTCATTAAGGAAAGAAGGTCTTAGTTAGTCTAGTGTCTACTTGAAGGTCTTGTCCAAAAGATTGTTGTGACCACGTATGAAGGCAATACACCAAGAACTTTTAAAGTTATGATAAAGGTACAACTTTGCGGACAAAAACGGCAAAGGCAACGAACAGTATCTTTTTTTTTAATGTCGAGCTAAAAACAACTGAACTGTCAAGCATTATATTCTGCAATTCTAACCTATACTTAATTAAAAATAAATATTTGGATACCACAAAATCTTATTTACGTTGTCACTGCAATTCATCATAAAAGAGCAAAACAGAGATAGATTAGTGCATCTGACAGAGAAGAATAATGACCGATTTTTTTTTCTTCTCTCACACAGTGGCACTGTGGAGCTTATTTTCAATACATCATCATCTGAATTCTTCACATTTATTATACCTTAATATATATTTTATAACGAAAGTAGTTAACTGTAGAAATTTTATGTATGAAAAACAGAACAACACAAAACATTCCATTTCTTAAGAATGTATTGAATATACGAGGGCTGTTCAATAAATACGCGGAAAAGTGTCGCTATTTCCTTATTGTCCAAGTTAGCTGAATAAAACTTATACAGTAATAGAGACAAACATATTTTAAAAATATACAGCAAATATTGCCGTTCTGGCATGAATCATATGTTAACAAACGGTCGTAATGGTAACCACATGTAGCGATTACCGGCCCATTTTTGTTAATTTTTACAAAAAAGTCACTGATTAATAATGACGTCGCATTTTAACGTTTACCGTGCGATTTTCACCAAACTTTGCATAATTGACGCGCAATATGTTGGCGTTACGCACATGACGTCATGTTAGTGTGTGACGCCATTTAGGCGTTAGGCGGCCATATTGTTTAGTGAGTATGCGTTAAAATGGCATCGGAACAACGATCTTCAATAAAATTTTGTGTTTTGAACGGGTTTTCAAAGAAAGAAACAATGTTAAGAAAACAGCAATGTACAAGTGGTATGCCCGATTTCTAGGCGGCCAATAAAGCATCTCTGACGACAAACGCAGTGGACGTTCCCACCTAACGTCAAATCACGTCGTTGTGATAAAGGAGCTGCTTGACAATGATCGTCGGATAACAATTTGCGAAATACACGAAAGATCTGATTGTAGCATTGGCACAGTGCATCGCATTATTCACGATGAACTCAATATGAGACGCCTGTGTACCAGGTGGATACCTAAAATGTTGACGGACGAACAAAAAGTGGAAAGGGTGCGGTGTTGTAATCAATTTCTCAGACGCTTTCATAGGGAAGGTGAACTATTCTTGCGACGGATAGTGACTGTTGATGAGACATGGATCAGCCTATACGAACCTGAAACGAAATCACAGTCTTCTATGTGGAAAACACCAGGATCGCCTTCACCTAAGAAGTTTAAAGTCGGCCCATCTGCAAGGAAACAGATGTTCATCGTCTTCTTTGACGTCCACGGTGTGATACTGAGCCACGCGGTACCCCTGTGTCAGACTGTGACGGCGAAGTATTATTCTAAGGTGAATAAATTTATTTAATCTAAAATAAGATATTCATTATTATGTCTATACATTACCTAATAATAATTTATATTTGTGTAAGTAATTATGAAAAAAAATTAAAACGACAATTTACTTATGATTGTATTTCTTTATGCTTTCAGATTCTGAGACGCGATTTTATGAGGGCGATGAGAAAGAAGCTGGCCACGAAAATCGCCGACACGATATTTCATTACGACAACGCACCGTCTCATCGTGTGGCCGAAACACAGTACACACAGAAATTTTTACGTGCGTGTCTTTATTTAATATAAATTTTCTTGAACATGAATTTTCATTTTATTTGTGTTTACAAGATAATTGACGCACCCAAGATATTCTTTAAGCACATATCAATGATAAGCGCTTACATTTAAGCTTAATAAGATTAAGCGCGTATAAAAACGGCGCATAAAAGTACCGTTAAAATTATTATAGCGTCAAAATAAGGAAGCTAAATTGTTCATTTAAACATCTTTATTCAATCCAGATGTAAACATGTTAGAGATAGTTCATATAAAGTAAGTTTTCATAAATACTATCTTATTCGAACGGCAACATTTATGAAGTAATGTGTAGACCAAAAAGCTTTAAACTTAATTTTATTTTGTTTTGCCTTTTAACAATTCTTGTAATTTAATTACAATTATTCATTTATTGGTATAATTATAATTGTTTCTAGAGCATGACACATGAAGATATAGAACTCAAAAAGATAAAAAAGCATATCGTTATATATACCATGTTACCTGTAGAACAACAGTGAAAAATGGCTGCCCTAAAGAACGCCCAAAGCGTCAAAATTAAACATGATGCAGCCCCTGCTTGGTTTGATGGAGCTTGTACATGAACGGATAAAAACAATTCTAGCTACCGTCCAAGTCCCCTAGCTTTGACTTCACCATTTTTGAAGATACAAACATGAAAATTGTACAATTATGAATTATTACTCAACCGCAGATATATTCATACAGCTGTTATTATGGACCCTTCAAAACGACACATACTTATCATTATATGGTCCGTAAGTAAAAACAACGAAAATTTCGCAGAACAGGATCAAGGATCTATGCGTTAGAAGGTAAAATGTTAAACTTATGCATGAACAAACGTACGTACACCGTAATTACAAACAGAACAAATTAATATTTGTAAAAAAATATCAGTATGAACGGAATTCGAATTGCATCTGTAAAAAGTTGCACCGTACTTCACTTCAGTGTTGTCATATTTTTATAGTTTTTCGGGATCACTGATTCCAACTCTTTGAAAATTGAGTACCACTTAATCCGGTGCTAGGAGGCGTGATGGACGTTGCACTTTTTCATTATTACTCATGTACAGACTCAATCAAATCTAGACTGCAATTTCCATGTAATTTTGTTGTGATTAATATTCCAAGGGATGATACTTTATCCGGATTTTTATTATGTTAAGTTGTTATCAACCACCCGATGTCTACTTTGCATGCACAAACGGACAAGTCGAAGACTATACGGACAAACTATCCAAATCAATATACATCCTTTCGAAAGTATGAAATTATTCATGAAAACTTTTTTAAAAAATGACATGGTTGTTATTTGCCACAAGAGATATAAGTTTTTAAAAAGTTCCAATCTGTTTAAATATTCTCATTTTTACAGAACTCCTTATCTAAATAAGTTTAATATATGCTATTTTTTTCAAAAACATTTTTAACAGGCAAATGTTACCTGGTGTACATGATATGCCAACATCGTCACCATGAACACAATTATGTTCTCCCCAAGTTCTATGCAGACATTGAATTAAGCTTGTTTCAGTTCCCTTACATTGAACATCATCTAAATGTATCGGCAATGATCCAGCGCCGAAGTGTGCGGACCGGAATGCCTGGGGTTTAGTCCTGAAATGAAAATTTATCTTATTAACAGAACTCGAAAGTTCAATTGAATTAAATTATAATTAAATAACACTTTCAAGAATTTAGGTAGTTATTATATTTTACTATTTCATTTTTGAATTAGTAATTAGCGTCTATGGTGCATTATTAAAAAAGAACTCTGACTAAACCAATTGAATCTTATTTGTTGTTGATACTGTAGTGAGACATAAATTACAAATATTACTATTTAATACAATACAAAATGAGATCAACTATTATTGTGCTAATTAAACTTATAATTAAAATAATTAAGAAGTACGGTAGCTTATTATTCATAACTATTTCTTTTTTCAATTTGTATTTGGCGCCTATGATGCATTTTTAACATTAAGAACTCGGACTTAACCAATCGAGTCTCATTTACTATCAACACTGTAGAGAGATATAAATGACCAAGAGTACTATTTAATTCTACTGATAATACAAATTGAGAAAAACTATAATTGTTCTTATTAAAAAGTTGTCATACTATGTTTTTCATGAAAGAAAAGTGTCTTGCTAATTAGCCTTTAAAATATCACGATAGTACAATAACTAACTACATGTATAAACATATATAACAACACAATTGTGGATAAACTGGCGGATATTCTTTTTTTACGTAAATCCACAGTTACTGTATCGTTCCAGAATCCGATAGCCTATGATTTGATAGAATATGTAAATATAAGTCGCTTCCATTATCGAACACAGTTTTCGATACCTTCCTGCTGTCTATATTATGTTTTGATTATATATAGGAATGCATGACATCCATATTGAAAGAACGCCTGTACTATGTAAATATTCCTAGTTTTCAAATCGTGGGACTACACTAAATACTTGCTATCAAGTTTGAATATCAAGTATATTACTGATACTCGTTCATAGAGCCTTTTTAAAGATTGTTCTGTATCCAGATTTTATAGAAGACTTTTGGGTTAAAAAAAAACATTATGGCGTCTTATTATACTTCTGCAAAATGTCGGCTGGTTATAGTCATTACTGTTCTGAATACATTGACAAAATGAACTAATAATAAATGGCTAATAAATATCTTATAGTCCCAAATAATTTCCGGTAATGCGTATCACCAAAAGGAGTTGAATGCTAACCTAAGAGACCGCTTAGCATAAATGGCACAAATATCGTATGTCAAGCAAAATAAAGTTTGTATTATTCTACGAATTTCAATTTTGAGACATTTTTCCTCACATTAGCAAGTGAATTTCTGATCGAGGACGTTCACGTATACAATAAAAACAATCTTTTTTCATTTTTTTGTTAATCATGGTCTTTGTTTCATTTCTTATTCATGATTTGAGAATGTTCAATTTACTTTGACTTTTTTACAATTTAAAATGGGTTATATTATGTTATTTGGCGTTTTCATATTGTTGTACATGTAAACACAATCATGCAACTATAAATCGATGCGTTTCTTTTTCAAACCTTTTGTTAAAACATAATTCATTCTTTCATAATGTTTTATATTTAAATTAAATGCGTTGCCCTTTTGTTCACAACATAACAACAACATAAGTCTTTGTAGCTTAAAAAAACGGAAAAAAGACTGCTTTTGGAACGGGAATGGCTATTCTGCTCTGCTGTTTTTAGTGCGTCTGTAAACACTAACATCCCGTCCTTCGCCCAAACTTTTCCCCTTCTCCAAAACATAATAATAAAAGGTTATGAAAACACAGATAAAAATTCATACAATGAATTATATTCCCAAAATATGAGAAAATGAAACTTCGTTTTACTTTGGTTTTTTTTGGTGGCGACTTTTCAGCTTTACTGGTGGAGGAATACCTCAGGTGCACTTCCGCGCATTATTTCAGACATGAACGGGCACATGAGTAGAGCCACCGCCGTTCATAAAAAAAGCTAGAAAGTTTCTTCACATGAAAAAATCCAAAGTCTCTGTCGGCATTCGAACTGTTTGAATTGTTTTGTTTAAATTGTTAACGACCTTACCTACTCAGCAACGCAAGTCCCGCGTATTTCTTATAATTGCTCGAAAATGTTTTGATATATAGCAATTTAGTTTGCATTAATAAACTTCTACTCAATGTCACTTTTCGGTTCGTAAGTGTTTTCTTCAGTATAATTATCTTTTCTACTTATTCAACATTTCAAACATTTTCAATAAACCGTCTAATTCATAGTATTAAATCAACTGGCAAGAAAAAGCCCTTATAAGCATTTAAGTTTTCGGATCTGACAATTTTTCAGCATTGTATTGTGTTATCTATTGTTGTTTGTAAATTTGTTTGAAGTAGGATATGTTTATACTTGATAATCTGTCATGAAATGTATTACTCCGATAAATAAGATGAATAAAGGCACCGTATAGAATCAATGTATTGATATTTTCAGTTCCTACAAGTTTTCTTTTTATATAAAACAATGTAACATCTCGCAGACACTAACGACGCAGGTTTTTTGAATTTTATCTTTATCAATTCTAGTTGATATAGTTAAAATAAGACGAATCTTGACCATTCATAAGCAGCGTTATGACGCAATAAAGCATGCAAACTATACATTTATACTCACCTTGCCGCGTTGCAAACAATATACATTCCAGCCTCACAGTTAAATTAATATTATGATATATGACATATTAAAGATGCTGAATGTTATGTTATTAATTTACTTTTAAATGCGATAATTTTACAGAAAAAATCAGAATTAAGGAAAAATACAGAAAATAAAATGATGAAAAATCTTTGACGCTGACTTGGTCTTTCTTAATATAACACAATGGTGTACGTCATCAGTAAAACATGATCGGTCACATGACCCATCTTTTATGTAGAACAAAACAATCATTGATGCCGATCACAGCAGCTTATCAAGCACAGTCGGTTATTCTTTTATCATAAATTTAATTTTTTGTTTTAAAGATTGACCTGAACTGGCGACAAACCCGGGAGACTGGTTTCTTCCTCCTAGGCATATTTGTTTACAAGCTGTGTGAGCGAGTGCCAGGAAACTTCTGTTAATTTACATATAAGGATGTTACATTTTACACTTAGTGATACCTTTGGATTTTTTCGACAAGAACTATGCAACTAATCAAATTCTGACCGTCGAAAATGTTGTATTATTCCATTCAAATCCATCTTGAGCACATACAAAACAATTACTTTTTTCTTTTATTAAACGTATATGACTTGTCACAGGATCTTAAAGGTACTTTGGGTGAAACCTTTCTTTCATTTTTTTTTATTTCTTCTTTTTTTTTCCTTTCCTTTTTCACTTTATCTACAGCAGATTCCGGATGAGAACAGCCCGATACGAAGAATGAGGAGTATAAGAACAAAGAGAATAAGAATAATAGATCTATGACAGGTTCGGGTCTTGCAAATTGCACTAGTTTAATCTAAATGAATTTTTATTTTATCTTGATTTTATCTTCATTACGATATTGCGATAATTATTATGAAAACGGTAATTGTGCCTTACATTGATAATATTAGTATTATCGTCCTTTTTATATGGATAACTTTCTGTATTACTTCCCACATTTTTGTGATGTTAATGGAAGTTATTCTAACCGTTTATACCTGTTTATACAAGTATACCATGTGACTAAGAAATTTGTACATTGATAACAGTACTTTGAACATTAAAATTCTTGTCACGTAGATTTACTTCTAAAATAATAAATGACCGCCATTTTTCTCTATGTTGCCTCTTATTTTTCAAAATTCTCTACGAAGGGTTTTAAAAAAGTGAGTGTAACATACATATATTTTAGTTGTCATAAATGATATCTTTTGGTTGAATAGTCATAAAGTTAACATCTGTTTTCATCTTAAGTTATTGCATCGGATTATGAGTCAAAATGAAACAAACAGACAAAATTATGGCCGAATTAGAGATTATAAGAAGGTGATGAAGAAAATTCTTGATATGATCAGAGTGCAAAGATCACAACCATAATGGATTTTGGTTTTGACTTTGATGAAATAAAGCTTATTATCTGATTTGTACGAGGGGGCGAAGCTCCCCGATTATAAATCATATTGTCGAAAGTTTTGATGTTCTCTCTCTTTTGTATTATAGGCAAAAAACGACATGTTCCCTGTTGTCACAATATGAAACCCCAGAAAAAAGTAACCAATGATTGGGCATCTGGATATGATATTTCTCTCTATCGTCACAATAGGTGTACTATGTGGGGATATAAATTTCAACGAATTAGATTGTTTTACTTGCCTTGTGAGAATACAGCAAATGTTTTCTATTGTAAGACTAAATTTATATATACATGTATATAAATTCCAATTCCTTTCTGTTTCGAAATCAAAAATAGAAATTTACTAATAATCTATTGAGTATGTAAATCACACATTGATTTGTGGTTTATAGTTAAATATCAACCGTAAGAACAAACTGTTAACCCGAGGCGAAGGTAAATACTGTGATGATAATTTTTTTACTAAATCTAAATGAAACCAAAAGTAACAATAACTTAATTATCCTTGTATCATAGACTGAGGACCTTTCTGTTGAAAATGTGTCAGAGTTGAATCGTATACATATATACATGCAAAGTGCGTTTATTGGAGGGCAGGTATTAGTTACCCGCACTCAATAGCATAAACCACTGATTGGCTCGTTTTTTTCTTGGGTTTACCTTTTGTGACGATAGCACTTTTTGTGGTTGTAAGATACGTTAAAACTACAACAGAAGTCTTCGTTCAGTTTGACATTTATTTGCGCCTTATCTCCATTTCGAAGAGTACGTGTTATTGCGCAGGCATATCAATCGTACGTCTATGAAAATCGTAATTGTTTACTGTATAGTTAGTTAAGTCAAGTCAAATTTCCTTTATTACAGACATTTCATGTTAACATGAATAAATGTGGTTAGCAATAGATACAATCATAGTAGAGGCTTTTTGAACATATACTATGTACAGTATATATAATTTTAGTGGTAAAACAATTCGTAAAAATGTATTTGTGAT